TTTGACTAATAATCTTTCAGAATCTCACATTATTTGCTGATGTGCATGAACAAAGAACCATATATATTATAAGCAGTTAGAATATCATACGATTACCAGTCTTATTATTTCAACTCATGAATTACCATTCGAATAAAATATCTCATAAAAATCACAACGTCATTCAAGGCGCGAATTAGGCTTAAAGAATCATTAACTTTTTCTACTTATACATATATAACATAAGCTTGACTATATATTAATCATAGTGTAAAATAATCTAAGTATTGCAATCAGTCCCACGCAACCTTAAAACCTTAATAAAAATAAATCTATTATATTTACAGGACTTAAGCATACAAGTGTCTAAGATCCAGTCCCGTTATTTTTATACGTTTAAATTGAAAAAATACTGTTGACTGATCTCATACTTATAATAGTTCTCTCGCTAGAGAGAAACTCCTAAAAATCGGTCACTTTTTTCAAATACAAATATACAATCCAAATGCTTTTGCCATTTCTCAGTGAAATGCAAATACCAAAATTAATATAGGTACAGCAATGATGCAAAGCAAGTAAATAGCAGTTCTAGGCTCGCAGGTAGACACAACCACATAATCATGATTCCACTGAGACTCGTTACCATTTAGCGGAAGTTCCAAAACCGTCTTTTGTCCACTAAAAAAATTCAACGGCAATGAACACTCCTGTGTGCTATTTTCACACGCATGAACAGAATTTGATGTATTGTACATAGTTTTCATTAAATCAAAATGAATTCTAACATAATTCGGTTGAATTTCATTTTCTGAACTGAATACAAAGAAATAATAGCCGTTCATTGGTACCCTGAAACGTAAACGTAACACTTACTGTATGCTCTTTTTTCTTCAGAATTCTTTTAGTTTCAATTTTTTTCATTTTCTTACTTACCTATACGTTACGGTATTTGCGAATGATGCAATAGAATGTTGTTTTTCGTATTTTGGCGCGCAATGACGGTGTGGCGTCAATGGTAAATTCAATATCAATCCTTTGCATTCCAATAAACGTTCTTCCGAGCTGCTAAATGAACTCCAGAACTCTGAGTTACTTCTGTCGTTCAATGTTGTCTCATTCACTGTGCCTCTGTCCTCAGCTATGCCGTCTGGATTGAGCATTCCCTAATTAAAGAAATTAGCATGTGCCATGAGTAAGTTTATTTTATTTTTGCAAAACAAATTTTAACTGCACACTGCTCGTCGTATCCATCATTAACAATATCATTCGATAGATATCATTTACAATTTGATAGGTTCTTTAGAATCACGTGTAGCTATCGAGCATTACTATTCTAATCAAGTATATCGATACTCTCATATTAAAAGAATTAAATACATGATACTCGTTAAATAAGAAATCTCAGTATCAGCTGTTTTACTCTCTGTCAATTAGTCTTGAAATTGATTAAGTTGATATAGATCACTTTATATATTCAGGGCAAACGTACCAGCTGAAGTTGAACGCGATTGAACAAT